TGGTGTGTTGTGTCTAAACACAAGATGGAAAGTTTGTACTAAATCTTAATGGATTAAATCAACTCTTTCTTTTATTATTGACCTTCTCCGTGGTCAGATGGATGGGGCATCTGGAAAGGGTGAAGGTCACGGTCCAGTCTGATGTCTGCACCATACCAAGAGATGTTAAAATGGTACTTCTTGTTAGCGGGGCGGTGGTGTAGCCTAGTGGTTAAAGTGTTCGCTTGTCACGCCGAAGACCCGGGTTCGATTCCCCACATGGGTACAATATGTGAAACCCATTTCTGGTGTCCCCCGCTGTGATATTGCTGGAATATTGCTAAAAGCGGTGTAAAACTAAACTCACCCACTTGTTTTTACCCTGCATGCCCTTGGCTTTAACTAGGACTAGTCAGTAGGGCTGGCTGACGATATAGATCATAGATATTGATCATAGATATAGATCATAGATATGGATCATAGATATTGATCATAGATCATAGATATAGATATATAGATCATAGATATTGATCATATTGAGATATAGATCATATGGATCATAGATCATAGATTCATAGATCATCATAGATATTGATCATAGATATAGATCATAGATATTGATATTGATCATAGATTCATAGATATAGATCATAGATATTGATCATAGATATAGATCATAGATATTGATCATAGATATTGATCATAGATATAGATCATAGATATATCATAGATATAGATCATAGATATTGATCATAGATATTGATCATAGATATAGATCATAGATATAGATCATCATAGATATAGATGATAGATATTGATCATAGATATTGATCATAGATATAGATCATAGACATATCTAAATATCGAATGATTATAGATAAAAATATCTGAGAAAATAGAAAGAAAGAAATGTCTGAAAGAAATGAATGTATTTCACATCAGTGGTGAGTTGTAACTTGTATTTGTATATTGTATGAGAAAATTTAACCTTTTTTCTATCACAAAAGTTAATGTATGATATTATTGATAACACAATTTTCATATTGATAATCATTAATAATTTTTCCTATCGACAATATTTCTGATTATCAATCATTTTAGCCAGCCCTACTGGTCAGTGTGGCATCAGTATATTAGTCTGAGTGGAGTATGTGTCATAAGCTGTGAGAGAATATTGCTGAGTGCGGCGTAAAACTAAACTCACTCACTCACCATAAACTGTGAGAGGTATCTTATTGGGCTAGCACTATAAAACCAGCACAAGTCCACACTTTTACCATAAACTATAAACTCGCATGTTTATATGTCAACATATTAATGCAGCAATGCCGACATTAAACCCTCACTACACCTTACAGGGTTTTACCTTGACTCACAAGCATGAAATCAGACCTCCAGTTATTAGTTTTAATGGTCCTGTAAAGTAACGGTGTAGAAAAGTGGACATTTTGATAATTTCTTCAGAACCTGGAATGAATCATTGATGATGTGGACAGATGGATGAAATGATGCACGTAACTGCTCTGAAAGAAACAACCAAACACCAAGCAAAGTCATAGATTTCATGGGGGACTATGAATAATAGTTTGCGTCCGTCTGAATTAGTGGTGTTCCGATTAATTGAAATAATCAAAGATTGGTCGCAGTGACCAAACGACCAAGCAATCGATCACATTTTCTCATAATCGAACATAAACGATTTTTGAACTACTTTTTTAGTCTTTGAAATACTTGACAATGGAACATATCGTTGAAGTTGTCAGTGCCTGAAGTCACTTCACTAACTGAAAATCCATGACTGAATATTTCTTGAAGACTCCAGGAAGTTTATGTTCATGATATATAAGTCATCACTTTAAAGTAGCAAGTTGCATCATGTTATACATATCTGCAATAACAACCTGGATGGGAAAATCTGAAAAATGACACTAACAAATTTTTTTCGATGATTGTTCGTTGGTAATGAAGCAATCATCAATTGTGAGATTTCAACCAATTCCCAACACTAGTCCAGAGCTCCAGATAAGATTTAGCTCATGTGGGTACTGTACCACTGTATTGTTTTGGAGTGGGTATTATGAATGTTGATTGGGTATTTCATTTTCCGTTACCCACTGCTTTCAAATATGTGCATATTTCAGTCATTTTACTCACCTAAGTATTATGTCATTGAGTAAGTTTACTAAGCAGGTATGTTCTGCCTTATGTCATACCTAATCAAAACCAACTTAAATATAATGGAAATGATTTCATAAAAAAATCCTATACTAACAGTACAACTTGATAGCAATCGATGTCTTTTTCATTACGCAAGCGATTTTTATAAATATATTTCGTATGCATTTAGTTTTAAACTTTTGGCGTATCTAACATTTTAGATGTGTAATTGGTACGCAGCAATTATTTTTCAACACGTAATTGGAAATTTTCTATGCGTATTTTACCCGGATACGCTGCTTATCTGGGCCTTTGCTAGTCTGAATGCATCCATTATCTATTTTTGGGCATAGTGGACACACATTTGCGTGTCACGTAATACCCTGCCTTACATCATCATCATCATCATCATCATCATCATCATCATCATCACCACATCCTCCTAAACCATTGTAACTGAAGCAGGATATCAAACTAAGTTAACATTGGTCTATTGTTGTCAGATCATTGAATCCTATTTACTGGCTTCGTGTCAAAATTCTTCCATTACAATAAGATCTAAAATATTTTGACTTCCGACACAGTTTTATGTATGCCACAGACTATCTGAAACTGCAGCCGAAAATAGGAAGCTGTTTGAAGCTGATCGATAGAGCAAGATTTGAAGTGAATGGCTTATCCAGCAACATCTGGTTCCTCGCTCAGTTCCTATAGGCAGAAAATGGCATTAAAGGCCGCCACGTTAGTAGCTGGATTACTGGTTATTGTCAAGTTTATTGGAGACTGGCTGGTTAATGTCAATTTCAAACTTTCATGTCTAATGCGTGATATGTTCCGTGGCTGGCCCTCTGTGGATGGAAAGTCATCTTAACTGTTGTTGTTCTGCAAGGTCAAATCGTGTTGTCAGTTGTTCATGAAGTGATAAAACGTTCTTACTGATGCAGTTCAAGATGGCTGAAAATGTCTTTATTGAAACATATATTGTTTAAAATTGGTTTTGTTATTTTCATTTTCTTCTGATGTGAACAGTGTACGGTATGGAAGTGGCTTTGTCTATAATATCCAGTCCTAATCTTCAGTCTGCTTCAAAATTAGTGAGTGAGTGAGTGAGTGAGTTTAGTTTTATTCTGCCTTTAGCAATATTCCAGTAATATTCATGGTGGGGGATACCAGAAATGGGCTTCGCACATTGTACCCATGTGGGGAATCAAATCAGACGAGGGAAGGCTTTAACCGCATTGCATTTTCTCTTTTTCTCAACACGGACTGTAGTTTTCCATATGATGCATAGAGATTTTATAAAAATTCAGTTTGCCAGCTATCAGTGTTTTGACATCACAGTATTGTAATACATGATACTGTCATTATGTCCTAAGCGAAAATGTGGGTCAAATTTGGTCTTCAACAACCAAGAGTTGAGGGATTGGGTGGTCAGACTCCCTGAGTATTATTTCAATTAATTGGAACACCACTAGCTTCAACAACCAAGAGTCGAGGGATTGGGTGGTCAGACTCCCTGAGTCTGACTCAGTTGATGCATGTCATTGTATCCCAATTTTTCTAGATTGATGCTCATGATGTCGATCACTAGGTTGTCTGGCTCAATTGTTTGTCTACCGATATCTTTCTCGATGACACACATGACAATCATTGCTGCTGAAGACTGAATTCCGACTGGGATCTTTCTCGTTCTCCAAAAGTAATTAAACATGTCCAGGGAAACTGATGATTAATTTCATAAACTATGTTACAAAGCCAGAGCAGACCACCTGATTCGTTATGTTGCCTCTTTCATGTTGGACACTGGTCAAACTGGCCAGAACTATGCCAAGAACTCTTTTGAAACTTGATATTAAAGATAGTCTACCGATGTGTTCTGCTAGTGTGTGAGACCCACCTCTATTGCCATAGCAGACCATCTTATTCCATTAAGTTGCCTTTTTAATGTAGGACACTGGTCAAACTGGCCAGAACTATGCCAAGAACTCTTTTGAAACTTGATATTAAAGATAGTCTACCGATGTGTTCTGCTAGTGTGTGAGACCCACCTCTATTGCCATAGCAGACCATCTTATTCCATTAAGTTGCCTTTTATATGTAGGACACTGGTCAAACTGGCCAGAACTATGCCAAGAACTCTTTTGAAACTTGATATAAAAGATAGTCTGCTTATTAGTTCTGCTGGTGTGTGAGACACACTTCTACTGCCCCAGTTTCTAAAGTTTCCGTGAGCATGTTCATGATGTATTGCCCACACAACTTTAGTAATTAATTAATTAATTGGTGAGAGCACATTTAGCATCAAAGAAAAAAAATTGTTGTGAGTTCTTTGAAATCTTTTTTATTCAGTGAACGTTTGTACAGGAACGTTAATTCTTTTTAAGTGCTTTCATGTGTCACAGTTGCTGTTACATAATGTCATAAGAAAGTGTCCGATTTTATTAACTTAGTTTTTGTGATATCTGTTGAACTTGCACACTGTTTTGAGCTGAGACTTTGTATGAATGCATCAATCTATCTCTAAAATGTGCTCACAGATTGAAAATCTGATTTTAGCATGGCAGCGGTACTGAAAATGTCATTTTTTCTATTATTTGGCCACGTCTGCATGTATAATTATGAAGTTTGATATGCTCCATTTTTAAATGAATTTGAATTGGAAAAGTTTGCACTGTCCACATTCTCCAAGTTAATTTTATCTGTGTCAATGGGTGTGAAACCGATCAAGATTAACTCCATCTTCAGTTGCTGATGTTGCAAGAAGATCAGGATGAATATTAATTGAACGTACTTTCTTTGGTAATACTTGCTATACAACTGTCAATAGAAATAAACAAATTACTAACTTCTCATTTTATTTTCAGGTGTTACAGAATTTAGGTCGTGCAGAACGAACACACGATGAGACTTTTGACGAATATGTAACCAAAGTCGAGAGGCAACAGGTAAGAATCACTTCCACTGGTGAATGTAAAACTTCAGTTGACATATCTGTAATGAAGTAATGTTTTGTAAATATTCATCAATGTCAAATCTTGACTTGTCAATCAATCAACTGATGGAGGTTGTTTATAAGAAGAACATTTCCTTGTATATCTGAATACAGTTTATATACTTACCCTGAAATTTACAAACTTATGCTGAAAATTATTATTTCTGATGAAGATGAAGATGTTTATTTCAGTATTTGAGGCCACATGGCCAAGAGTACAAACATATAGAAACAATATTGCGTGGATGGACAGATAAAACAATGTCGTTAGTTCATTTTCATACAGGCAAGTTACGCTTTAGAAATGTTGCAATAGACTTCAATAGATGTGCATTTGTTGTTAAAAGTTGTTTAAATTTTCATCTTGATGGAAACGTTACATGGCAATAACTAGGTAAATACAGCTTTCTGTGTACAGAATAGAATGGACACATAAGTAAAAAATGAAATTCATCTTGTGTAGCATTAAAATCACATTCGTCAACTATCAATACATTGGAATTTATATTATTATTATAACGTTGTTGTTGAACACTTTCAATGCAACGTATGGCTTAAACAGCGGAATTTGCATAAAATGCGTATAAGGTTCTTGTTATGACAAAGTTCCAATATGTTGGGAATTGGTTGAAATCTCACAATTGATGGTTGCTTCATTACCAACGAACAATCATCGAAAAAAGTTGGTTAGTGTCATTTTTCAGATTTTCCTATCCAGGTTGTTACTGCAGATAAGTATAACATGTTGCAACTTGCTACATTAAAGTGATGACTAATATATCATGAACTTAAACTTCCTGGAGTCTTAGAGAAATATTCAGTCATGACTTTTCAGTTAGTGGAGTGAGTTTTCTAAGAAATAAACATGTTTTCAGGCCCTGACAACTTCTAAGATATGTTCCATTGTCAAGTATTTCAAAGACTAAAACAGTAGTTCCAAAATCGATTATGAGAAAATGTGATCGATTCCTTGGTCGTTTGGTCACTGCAACCAATCTTTGATTATTTCAATTAATCGGAACACCACTAATTTCTACTATTGTATGACAAAGTAGACACAGTCTACACAATTTCCTCATGCTTTTTTTACCACATTTCATTATAGATCCGTGTACTTTTGGCAACCAAGACTATTACAGCTGTCTTTTTCATTTCCTGTATTCTGTGTGTCAAACATTTTCTGCTGTATATTTCTAAAAATGAATTACAATCATTCAAGATAACTGGATATGTTGTGCAGGAATCGTGACAATGTTTGGCGTTAATCCGCTCACACTTAGAACTTCTGGTCCAGTAGTGTTGGGAATTGGTTAAAATCTCATAATTGATGATTGGTTCATTACTACCGATCAATAATCGAAAATAATTGGTTAACGTCATTTATTAGCACATTAATTTAAGAGGAAAATGTAGTTCTTCTGGGGTTTTTTTGGCAAAATTTCACATCTTTAAAGGATGACTAGTATGTTAGGAACATAAATTTCTTGGAATCTTTAAGATAAATTCAATCATGACTTGAAACGAGCTTGTAGTGCTTGCGAAATGTAACAGACAAAACCAACCATGTGAAAAATATTGTTTATGAAAACAAGTGTTCCAGAATTAATTTGTGTTTGATTATGAGAAATTATGATCGATTTTGACTGCAACTCGTTTAGTTGTCACCAATCGCAACAATATTTCAATTAATCTTCTCACCACCACTTCTGGTCCAGACTTAATTATTTACAGACTGCCATCCATATAGCTGGAAAGTTGGACAGTGTCGGTAAACAACAAGCGAGTTTCAAAAGTAAATCTTGTAAATATGTAAAACAAAGTTTAGACATTATTTAAACTTGTGGATATGTTTATAGAGTTTAAAATATTTTTGTTTCAGGACGTTGCCCATAGGATACAAAAGGAACTAAAAAATTATTTACATTGTGTGAGAGGTGAGTCGAAAAATACATTATCATGTGATGATACGATTGATACTGTATTAACAGAGAAAAGACTAAGTGATGCAGTATGGTATCAACACATGAGACAGCCAGTATTGACATTGATATACAAGCAGCAAATCTTTAACCTTCATACACTGGATTTTTATAAAATGTTTCTTGTAAATCAATGTCAATACTGGCTGTCTTCTTATATAGTAGAGGCGGTGGGGTAGCCTAGTGGTTAAAGCGTTGGCTCGTCTCGCCGAAAACCTGGGTTCGAATCCCAACATGGGTACAATGTGTGAAGCCCATTTCTGGTGTCCCCCGCCATGATGTTGCTGGAATATTGCTAAAAGCGACGTAAAACCAAACTCAGTCAGTCAGTCTTATATAGTAAACTCATGAAGATCTGGGTTAGAGCTGGTCTTCAGCAACCCTTGCTTGTCATTTAAGGCGACTAACAGGATCAGACTTGGTTGACACATGTCATCATATCCCTGTTATGTAGATCGATGCTCGTGCTGTTTAATCATTGGATTGTCTGGTCCAGACCTGATTATTTACAGACCACTGTGATATAGCTGGAATATTGCTGAGTGTGGCGTTAAACAACAACCAAACAAACAAAATCATGTGTAGAAAATCATTCCGATGGTGTGTACTCATGTTTGAACCCCTTGTGCCGATTCTGGTTTAGAAATAGTCCCCAGCTGCTGGTCTTAAGTAGACTTAATGTCTGGTCTGGTAGGTTGTTTCTTATTTGATCACATGTTGTCAACTGGTGTTGTGGATGAGGTGTCCGACTGGAAAACAGAAGGTCCCCGGTTCAGTCTTCTGGCTTGTCATTAGTGGTGTAATGATACATAAATACTGTCTTGTATCGTGATACAAGGCTCAGGATACATTGATTCCTCCTGTATCGCAATACATATGATACATAAATTATATTGATGTAAAAATGTGAATAATGACAGAAACTGTGCAAGATCCAGTTTATGCAGATTCTCTATAGACTGTTTGCAGTGAAAACGTATCGATAAATTTCACTTTAAACAAGAAAGTAAATCGAATAAAGTGAAATTAAGATTCCGAATCCTCGTTATTTTACCATGCCAACTGAACATTTAAATATCAGAATTTTTTTTAAACTTAGGATAAATGTTGTTTAACAAACGATCTTAGTTTCAAATCGTTATTATTGGTTTGTATTACCAGGGGGTATGCACATTAAATGAAACACCGAGAACAAGTAGGGTTGGTCTAAGTTAACGCTCATCACTTACCACACGTGCATTTGTTTCAGTGTTCCAACTACTGCGCTTACCCCCTTGTAATACAAACCAATAATAGCGATTTGAATCTATGATCGTTTGTTAAACAACTTTTATCCTAAGTTGAATAAAATTCTGAGATTCAAATTTTCAATTGGCAAGGTAACATTATGAGGATTTGCAATCTTAATTTCACTTTATTTGATTTACGTTTTTGTTTAAAATAAAATTCATTGGTACGTTTTCACTGCAAACAGACTATAGTATTTACCGGTTATATTTATAGAAGTATCTTCACAGTGCCCCAAGCTTATATGTTTCTTTCCCACAGTATCTACTATGTGAAATCTGAAAAACAAATGATTCACTGTTGTTATTCGCCTAAAAAGTAGAGAATATGAGTTCATGAAATAAAGGACTGACTGACTGACTGAGTTTGGTTTTACGCCGCTTTTAGCAATATTCCAGCAACATCACGGCGGGGAACACCAGAAATGGGCTTCACACATTGTACCCTTGTGGGGATTCGAACCCGGGTCTTCAGCGTGACGAGCCACTAGGCTACCCCACCGCCCCTGAATAAAGGAACTGAGTCAGGCTACAGATCATGTCATGTCCTTACCATATAATTTCACCTTTACTCGTCAAACAGATAGCAAAAGTAGAACTTGTTATTGTTAACGACAACAACTGAGTGAGTTTGGTTTGACGCCGCTTTTAGCAATATTCCAGCAGAGACCATATAATATCATATTATATGGTCTCTGAGTCCAGCAATATCACGGCGGGGGACACCAGAAATGGACTTCACACATAGTACCCATGTGGGGAATCGAACCCGGGTCTTCGGCGTGACGAGCGAACTCTCTAACGACCAGGCTACCTCATGAACCTCAAACAAGTATTGGCCAGCTCAGTGTACTGAGTTTGAGTAGGCTATCCATGTTAGATAGCAGCAGGGTATCCCAGTGGGCTAGCTCCATAAAACAAGTAGAGGTCACAATGATTAGATGCAGCCTCTAGCACATGCATGTATTGCTGTGACTTCATTAATATTGAAAGCAAGATAAGATCCATTTCAATTTGCGGGTAATCCGATGGTGTGGATCATTGTCTATAGTGTCAGTTGTAGGTTTGAATATGATTATCTGTAGAAAGCCATTGCTGCGATATTACGGTGTGTAGCATCAACATATGTGCCGTGATTATACTGTAAATATAGATGTTTAATGGAAAAGTATATTACTATATGGATAACAACTTCTTTATTTATAATGATGCGACGTTTCGGTATAGCTTCTTATAGTTGTCAAGCAACAGTATAAGAAGCTATACCGAAACGTCGCATCATAATCTTGCTTGACAACGGTATAAGACTGACTGAGTTTGGTTTTACGCCGCTTTTAGCAATATTCCAGCAACATCACGGCGGGGGACACCAGAAATGGGCTTCACACATTGTACCCATATGGGGATTCGAACCTGGGTCTTCGGCGCGACGAGCCAACGCTTTAACCATTAGGCTACCCCACCGCCCGACAACGGTATAAGAAGGTATACTGAAACGTTGCATCATAATAAATAAAGAAGTTGTTATCCATAAAGTATTATACGTTTCTATTATCCATCAACTTCTAAAATGCCAGTCAAACAGATAATATAGCTTTGAACGTGATGAAGAAACAGTGTCTTCAATGTATGTTTAAAACCTATGAAAATGTCTAGGGAGGTTCTCAAAATAGTTCTTTGCCTTTCACAAATCATCATCCATGTTTAGCTTTCATAACAACTGGACATGCAATCATTTGTCATTGTCAAGTCATCAAAGACACTTCATCATCTTCATGACAGATGATTGACACTCGTCACATGAAATGTCAGTTTCACAAATACATTTTCATTGGGTAGATATTTTCCTATCTATCAATAGATCCATGTAGAATCTCTGTAATTCCTGTGAATATCCTACCAATATTACATCTCTGCCATAAGTACTGTTTTTAGCTATCATCACATTTTAAACAGATTTTCAATAGAAGTCATCTTCACAGTTAAATATCCATAACCAGTTGTACAGGAAATAGCACATGCATCATCAATAATTTAAAATTCTGTTTTATGAGCAGTTTAAGAGGGCGTAGGAATGTTTTCCTTGTGAGTGAGCGACTCATTAATTTATACCTGCAAAACCTGCGATAATGTCGGTACTAATTCCCACATTTTAATAATAAAACAATTTTAATCTACAAAACTGAAACAAACTTATACCAAAAATCTTGTTAACTGCCCAACTTTTAATTAACAGTACACAGAATGGGAAGATGAGTTTCACAATGTAGTTAATCTTTGTACATATTTGTTAAACATGTTGAACGGGGGTTCAAAGTTTTTCGAAATGTTTCCTGAACACATGTAAATAAACATTTAAGTTGCCTAATATTTGAATCCACTTGCCAACATGTCACGGTTCTATTTTCCTTTCACACCTTGACAACCAATGATGTTGTCTCATTGCTGACACAAACTGAGGGACGTGCCTAGGTCCTTGTTAAGTCATACATATGTCATATCTAGAGTATATATATGTTCATTTGCACAGTGTGAAATCTACTTAAGGAAGAAATTCATGCTGTTTACATTCATATAACATGCATCAAGCTTCCTTTTGGCTCAAGGTTACTTTCAATTACCTCACCTAAATTCATCTGATGTAAAATGGATGTTTTGAATTGAACATTAAATTTATACAATGTTTATAAAATGGACATTTTTTATTTTTGCCATTTGGCTTGAAACTATACAAATAACTTCCTGAAATATCAGCATGTGCTTGAGAAAAGAGTGAATGAGGTTTTGCGCTGTTTTTAGCAATATTCCAGCAATATCATGACAGGGAACACGAGAATGGGCTTTACACATTTACATTGTGGGAATCGAACCCGGTTCTTCGGTGTGACAAGCGAACACTGTAACCACTAGACTACGCCACTGCCCTGCTGGAGAGAGGAATGTAAAGGCTTGAAATTTTCGTTCTGTGTTGAACATGTTGAAAATGCTCCTCTTTATATTCTGCTTTCTAAAGGCATTCCTGTTTCTTAAATATTCCAAACTCATGTAAACTTTTCAGAAATGAATGTATCTTTGAATCATATAAATTGTCATAACTTTGGGAAATTACACAAACCTATCTATTTATTGCCAGTAGCAATGATAGGTATCTCCAAATATGCATCTGTAACAAATAAGATGGATGGACCCAAAACATACCAGCTTACCATATAACAGACATTTGAAAGTTATTTCAATCTAAATCACAAGCAATGATATAAGCAGGTAGGGATATCAAAACAGTTATGAAGCTGATGTTCGACTGCAGCAAATTTCAGTATAAATTCCCAAATTAGAATTACAAATTTCCCATCTAATTTTAATAAAGCTGTAACAAATAATTAACTTTTGACAGAGAACTTGTATGTCGTTGATAACAAGATTAAAAGAGTTAAAGTCTTTAATGGTTAGTTTAAAATTATTGCACTGAAGGCATTGTTAAAGTATGTCAGAATTTGTAAAAATGAGAACTTGGATTTGTTTTCCCAGGTTACATGCCCAGGCCTTTTAGTTTAGAATCCTGGATCAATTCCTGAAGACTCAGATAGAATCAGGTGGGACTGATAGTCTAAGGATTAATTTATTTTGGCCTAACACCGCCTAACTGTATAACAAGTTTATCATGTACAT